GAGAGAGAGAGAAACATCCATATAAAAAGGAATAGGCTATTTAATAGCAGGACAAATTATTGTCAAAAGCTATATACAGAGCAAATCAGAAACAAATGCTAGCAACAACACATGTTTGGCACATACAGTACAGGTAGATGGTGACTGTGAGAGAACAATTAATACAGATGCATACACAGGTGGACAGGTAGAAACAAAGGAGGACTGAGAGGTAGAACCCCCCCCCCCCCCGCAAAAAAACAACAAACAAACAAACACAAAAAAACCAATGAAAATGTGAAAGAGGGATCAACTCCTAAATTAATAACACAGAGATTCAAACAATCACAAGTATACACTACAATACCCGGAACGAAGTACGGAGTAACAGACACACACAAAGAAAAAGAGATAAACTGACGTCATATCAGTTTAAAACCTCAATAGACACTGTGTAAGCTATTTTAGATATACATCAGAATTTCGCTCCCATCTCAGACAGGACAGTGAGAAATAGGGAGAAAGCCCTTAAAGTTAAAAAAACCCAACAAGTTTAAGAACATTCCGAATAGAATTCTTACAAGAGTCATCTGCATTGTTTTTCAGCATAACATCACTTGGCTGTCGGTGCGCCTATACAGACAGAAATAGAGTGAGAATGTGAGACAGACAGACAAACAGACAGATAAACAGGCAGAGAGACAGACAGACGGACAGGCATGGAAAAAAAGCGAGAAAAAGAAAGGAAATACGTTTATTTAATACAGGAGCCAGCCAGCCAGCCAGCCAGACAGCCAGCCAGCCAGCCAGCCAGCCAGCCAGATAGCCAGCCAGCCAGCCAGCCAGCCAGCCAGCCAGCCAGATAGCTAGCCAGCCAGCCAGACAGACAGACAGACAATGAGACAGACAATGAGACAGCCACCTAGCCAGTCAGCCAGCCAGCCACTCAGTCAGCCAGCCAGCCAGCCAGCCAGACAGACAGACAGACAGACAGACAGACAGACAGACATACAGACAGCCAGCCAGCCAGCCAGCCAGACAGGCAGACAGACAGACAGACAAGCAGACAGACAGACAGACAATGAGACAGCCAGCTAGCCAGTCAGCCACCCAGTCAGCCAGCCAGACAGACAGACAGACAGACAGACAGACAGACAGATATCGATTGATTGACCAGTCTCACCTCGTATGCCCCTGGTCCGGGGAAGTCTTCCTTCTCGTGTCGGAACCGTTTGTCTCTGGTCACCATCAGGCCGCCTTTAGGACCCAGGGCTTCTCGAGGAGTATCGTAAGTACCGGGACCTGAGAGAAGGAAGAAATACAGGAGTAGGGGGAGGGGGGAGCGGGAAGGGAGCGGGGAGCGTAATAAACGTGCATTAGCTTAACATATTATTGGATGGAAGCAAGAATTATTTATTTTAAAAACTCATATCGTCTGTCTGTCTGTCTGTCTGTCTGTCTGTCTGTCTGTCTGTCTGTCCGTTGGTCTGTCTGTCTGCTTTCCGGCCTGGTGTCTGTCTGTTTTTCTCTGAGTGCGTGTGTCTATCTATCTGTCTGTCTGTTTGTCTGTGAGTGTGTCTGTCTGTCTGTCTGTCTGTCTGTCTGTCTGTTTGTCTGTCTGTCTGTCTGTGCACGGGCCTTAATCTGAACTTAAGAAAAAAAAGTTAACGTTATTATCATAGAAAAGTCTAAATGGTCATCAGCGCGGGATTTTTGAAGTTTTGAAGGCTGGGCACTCGGTCACGAGCACCGAAAAGAAAGTCTAACCCACATATTATTTTTATGGCCTGCAGTCCAAAAACGTTATTTCAACTAGCGGCGATGCATCGCTTGTTGGGAAACAGTCGAGACATTTGAAATTGCAAACTTCTCCCACCTTACAGGCGAGTGTGTATGTATGTGTGTGTGTGTGTGTGTGTGTGTGTGTGTGTGTGTGTGTGTGTGTGTGTGTGTGTGTGTGTGTGTGTGTGTGTGTGTGTGTGTGTGTGTGTGTGTGTGTGTGTGTGCAGGGGGTGATGAGGGGCATTAGAAGGCTAAATAAACTTTCAACACAAAACAAGAACGACACAAAAACAGAAAATAAGAAGGAAAGTGTTTTGGGTAAAATAAAGGGGATCCTAAAAAAAGGAAAGAGAAGAGGAGAAGAGAGAGAGAGAGAGAGAGAGAGAGAGAGAGAGAGAGAGAGAGAGAGAGAGAGAGAGAGA